GATTTGAACCGCTGAACTGCAGATAGCAGTCAGCTGAAGTGGCCTGCAGTACTGCACCCTAACCAATGCGCCACCTCTCTCTTTATGAAGAGGTTGATGAACTGAAGAGTTTTGGGATGCCTGCTAGAGTCAATGGTATGGAATCCGGCTAAGAGTCTGAGAGGGCCAGGGGGAGCACATCCTTTCTCTTGAGATCCCAAGAAGGATTTCCTACTAGAGCAACCTAAGCCATTGCTGTTCCATGTCCAGACCTGTATCCAGAAAAGGGCCTCAGAAATTCTGTTGCTTCTAGGACCCTCGGTAACTGAATCGTTAACTGTTTTCTGCAAAATCTTCGCAAAAAGGCGGGGTTTGAGAAAAGCCACTGCAGAATTGATTAGCTTCATATAGCATGCTAAGTATAAACTGTAGCTAAGCAGCCACGATGGCTGGATTCTCATTTTATTCTAAGCCAAAACCAGCAAACATTCTGTGGGTTAGCTTGTTGTTTAAGTAGTTTGTAAGAGAGTCGAAATAAGTGTTGTTGTTGTTTTTTTTTTAAAAAAGGCCTTACAACATTGAACACGTCCTTTCTCTGTTTCTTCTCTCAGATTAAAGAAGCTGCTTGAACAGGAAAAAAACTACCAAGCTCGCAAGGACAAAGAACACACCAAGCGCCTCAATAAGCTAAGAGAAGAACTTGTTAAGCTCAAGTCATTTGCACTTATGCTGGTGGACGAACGGCAGCTGCACATCGAGCAACTCGATCAGCAAACCCAGAAAATACAAAACCTCACCCAGAAATTGAGAGAAGAAGACGACAAGTTTAAGGTCTTAAATTCCAAAGCGAAAGAAGATGGGCAGAAATTAATAAAGCTGGAGGCTGAGCTTGAGTACAAGACAGCCTCCTATTCTCAAGAGCATGAGGAGATGACTGCTAAATTTGCTAACCAAGAGTCACACAATAAGCAGCTCAGGCTTAAGCTAGCGGGCTTATCCAACAAAATTGAGGAGCTGGAAGAAACCAACAAAGGCCTTCAAAAGACTGAAGAGGAACTTCAGGAGTTGAGAGACAAGATAGCCCAAGGGGAATGTGGGAATTCCAGCTTAATGGCTGAGGTGGAAAACCTTCGCAAGCGTGTGCTTGAAATGGAAGGCAAAGATGAGGAGATCACCAAAACGGAATCTCAGTGCAAAGAGTTGAAAAAGAAATTGCAAGAGGAGGAACACCAGAGTAAGGAACTGAGGCTTGAAGTCGAGAAACTGCAGAAGAGGATGTCAGATCTTGAGAAGCTGGAAGAAGCTTTCAGCAGAAGCAAATCGGAATGCACCCAGCTGCGTTTGAACTTGGAGAAGGAAAAGAGTTTAACGAAAGATCTGATCAATGAGTTGGAAGTAGTGAAGATTCGGATAAAAGACTTGGAGGTTTCAGAAACCAAGCTGGAAAAGGCAGAATTGATCCTAAAAGACGACCTGACGAAGCTGAAGTCGTTTACCGTCATGCTGGTGGATGAAAGGAAAAACATGGCGGATAAAATAAAGCAGGAAGAGAGGAAAATGGAATGCCTGAATAGGAACTTTAAAGTGGAGCAAAGCAAAGTGATGGAGGTGACCGAAAAGCTAATTGAGGAAAGTAAAAAATTTTTGAAGCTGAAATCTGAAATGGAGGAAGAAGTGTCCAATCTGACTAAAGAAAAGGACGAGTTAATCAACAAGTTAAAAGGTGAAGAAGGGAAGTCACTGCAGCTGAGCTGTACGGTGGATCTGTTAAAGAAAAGAATGGATGGTATAGAGGAGGTGGAAAGAGAAATTGCCAGAGGTCGAGTTAGAAAAGGACCAGAAGATAACAAGATCAAAGAACTAACAGTTGAAATAGAAAAACTGAAAAACCGTCTCAAGCAGTTAGAGGTGGTTGAGGGAGATCTGATGAAAACCGAGGATGAATACGATCAGCTGGAGCAAAAATTTAGGACCGAGCAGGACAAAGCTAATCTTCTTTCCCAACAGCTGGAAGAAATGAAGCTCCAGATTGCTAAAAATAAAGCAATAGAGAAGGGAGAGGCGGTGAGTCAAGAAGCTGAGCTGAGGCAAAGGTTCCGGGTGGAAGAAACTAAATGCAGGGACTTGACAGCAGAAGTCCTGGCTCTTAAAGAAAAAATCCACGAGCTGATGAACAAAGAAGACCAGCTTTCCCAGCTCCAAGTAGATTATTCAGTCCTCCAGCAAAGGTTTCTGGAAGAAGAAAGGAAAAACCAAGCCATGGGACAGGAGGTGCTGAATTTGACAAAAGAGCTCGAGTTGTCTAAGCGCTACAGTCGCGTCCTGAGGCCCAGCACGAATGGCAGAAGGATGGTTGATGTACCCGTGACATCGACTGGGGTACAAACTGATATGATGAATGGTGAAACGGCAGAGGAAGAAACACCTGCTGTGTTCATTAGGAAATCCTTTCAGGAGGAGAACCACATCATGAGCAACCTTCGGCAGGTTGGGCTCAAGAAGCCCAGTGACAGGTCGTCGGTTCTTAACAGGTATCCCCCAGCTGCAAATGAGCTGACCATGAGAAAATCTTGGATTCCTTGGATGAAAAAAAGAGACAACGGTTGTCAGCCAACTCAAGACAGAGGAGCCAGGATTCAAACCAGCCCTGAGCGTCCTGGGGAAGTGGTTCTTTCTCCAAAACAAGGGCAGCCTCTTCATATTCGGGTGACACCAGATCACGAAAACAGTACAGCCACTTTGGAAATCACTAGCCCAACAGCCGAAGATTTCTTCTCAAGTACCACTGTTATCCCTACCCTAGGAAATCAGAAACCCAGGATCACCATAATTCCTTCTCCTAATGTCATGTCCCAAAAAGGGAAAAGTGGTGAGAGCTCAATGGGTCCAGAGAGAGCAATGTCACCAGTGACTCTAACGACTTTCTCCAGAGAGAAATCTGTAGAGAGTGAGATGTCACCGTTCATGGAGAGGCCCATGTCCCCAATTCAGATCATGACCTTATCTACCTCTGCAGCACCCACAGAAATTACTGTGTCCCCTGAGTCACAGGACATGACCATGGGGAGAGCTGTGTTTAGAGTGACGCCAGAGAAACAAACTGTCCCGACTCCGGTCCGACAGTACAATCCAAACGCAAACATTATAACAACGGAGGACAATAAAATCCACATCCACTTAGGGACTCAGTTTAAACGCTCAGCTAGCGCTGCTCAAGAAGGAATGAGCCCTGTAATTACTGTCAGGCCTATGAATGTAATGTCAGAAAAGGAGAATTTGACCGGGACTGTCCTTCGGTCCCCCAGGAATAATGTATCCTCAAGATCTGGAGCAAGCAAAGTGACCAGCACCATTACTATTACTCCAGTTACTACTTCATCCACACGAGGAACACAGTCAGTGGTAAGCGCTCCAGGCTCATTTGCTTATTCGTGTGTCTGCACGGTGTAGGGAAGAGTGGTAGTAGAGTTGGAGTCAATTTGTGGTCCATGGGCTCTTGGACCACAAACAACTCTCTTCCAGCACCTCATTTGTGGCCCCTGATTAGGTTTGGGTTTATTATTCAAAATTCTCACCTGTAAGTTACACATCCCAAGTCTCCAAATGCCCAAAACTCATTGGTTTGGAAATTGATTTTATCCCTCTTTTTGGGATGTTTTAATCATAGAAAGAGGGACGCTGTGGCTCAGTGGCTAAGATGCTGAGCTTGTCTATCAGAAAGGTCAGCAGTTTGGTGGTTTGAATCCCTAGTNACAAAGAACTTTGGGAGATCAGAGGAGGCATGACAGAGAGGAATCCAGGAGAAAACTCCTGAGCTTGCTGCTGCTGTCTGGTGGATTGTGTTGCTGAACCTCTCCATGCTTCTCCGTTCACCACCTCCACTCCCAGGTATGGGACTTGACACCGAATTGGGCTAGGATAGTGCAGACGGGTGAGGGGGGGAGTGAGCGATGAAGTGGCTTCCAGACAGGCGGGAGTTAGCAAGGAGCGACAGGGCCGGGGCAGGCATTCCGGAAGTTACTTCCGGATCCACTAGTCGAACCTCCTCTCACCGGATCGGTAAATTTCACCATCCGGTTCTCTTGATCTGGTGCGAACCGGCAGAAACCCACCACTGAAGCTGGGTGACTTTGGGCTAATCTTATCAATCCATCACTGCTTTGATTCCTGTACAAAAGGTAGAGTATCATAAGCAGATGAAGCTAATACCCCAAAACTTAACCTGTGAACATTTTAGCTTTCATTTGGCTAGATGGTGCTTGGGATATTTATATAGTAGATAAATATTTAGCTAACTACTAAGCAAATTGAATCTAGATAAATGTCTAGTGGCTGCTGTGCTTTGAATTATAGGTCTGTTTACATACATGCTGACATAGAATTGGTTTGATAGATACTTTAAATTATCTGAAGCTACTGTTCTTTGCCTTTTCTTTTCTTGGGAGAAATGCTAAATGATCAATAGGAATATTATATTTTCATGAGACTTTACTTAAATGTAGAAAAAAATAGAAAATAGAATTTTAATCTTTTCCTAGCAAGGCTGAAATAGTTGCATACTGTATTTAAAATAAGGAGAGCTAACCATTTTGAGCAAAAAAGCAGACGTATAAGAAATAGAGAGTTGTTTGTTCTAAGACCTGGGGTAAGTTTTAGCATTTTCTTAACGTTTTTAAAATCATTTCCTAAATGAAACTATCTGCTTTTTTCAGAAGTAGGAGAGAGCATTCTATTAACTTTAGCTGAAAGAAATTGGTAAATTTGATGTTGGTTTTTATCAAGACTTTTGAATAACAAGCTTGAATAGTAAATCAGCAGAAAATTACATTAAACAATATGAAATCCATTTTGTATTTTCTTAAATTGAGGTTAATATGGGAAAAAAGGGTTTGTATACAATTTAGACTGCATTTAATATTGGTTGATTGTAATCAAACTGCTGTTGAATATCAATATGGTCTAGTCTTGTCCTGTTATGGTTGTGTTTTTAGGTTGGTATCAGCAGGGTTATAATATTGTTTAAGATGACTAGTACTCTATCAAGAATTGTGGATTGCTTAGGAATAAGGATGGACTAAAAAGTATCATATTACCAGGAGTGGGTTTCAACCGGTTCGCGGCGGTCCCTGCGAACCGGTTGGTCGGCAAACCCGGAAGTAAATAACCTCCGGGAACGGCGAAGGGCCCACCCGCCCGCCCGCAGTCCTTACCCGGTTTTGACGAGTTCTGCGCTTCCACGTATGCGCA